CCCTGGCGGCTCAGCAGGCACACGGTGCTGGCGCACCCCACAGGCTTTGTTGCGGAGACCATCAGGGGTCGGAAATACGCTAGTCCACCAGAATCCCACATGAGCAAAGGCCTTGGCAAGCGGGGCTATTGGCAGGCCCCACGCTGGTTGGCCGAGGGAGCTGAAGAGTGGCTCTAGGGAAGGACTAAACCCTATGGTGAACTCACAGCACCAGGACAGGGGTGGCATCCAACCTTTAGCAAGCACACCCTGAGGCTCAGCTGGGAAAGAGCCCCGAAAGGAACGGTCAGACGAGGGTGAGGGTCCCCTCGCGCCCTGCGGATGGGAGCAGGACCGCGTGCTCATATCATCGGTGAGGGGCTCCTCTTCAGCACCTTCGCAGTGGTCGTCTGCAGAATCATCAGAGTCCCCCGGCTCAGATGAAGAAGAAAACACGTCAAACTCCGGGTCTGTTGCTTCGACCCTTTGAAAGCCGAAAACCAAAACAGTCCCAGAACGGACATCAAGGTGATTGGTGCGCCGTCGCCCACCTTGAACGGCTAGTCGCCAGCCAGGAGGCGGTGCGGTGGGCAACACACGCTGCAGCTCAGTGTAGGCAATTCGCGCCCGAGTGAGTCGAAGGAACTGGGGAGGCCCGGCTATCTGTCGAAAGTCCAACAGGACGACAGTTTCCTGCGATCCATCGCGGTTCTTCTCAACAACTGCAATGAGGCCACGCATATTGGAACCACGATAAGCAAGATACTCAAGCAGGCCGTCAGGAGGCGCATGGAATGTAACTTCATCCCTTCTTACACCGACAAACTCAGCAGCAGCCTCGTCGACAGGGCCACGGCCTTCGACGTGCCGAGAAAACATGTAACGCCCCGTGTGGTGCAGCAGCATGACGGCCCTGGCAGGAGAAATGTGGGGGAAGGTGGGCCTAAACCCCAAGTCACGGTACCCACCTAGCCAATCCCGAAGGTTGCTGAAAACCGGCGGTGTCTCATGGGCCCGGACAAGGCGGATGACGTCGCCATTCTCTAACCAGATCTCCTCACCCTCAGGGATCGGGTCAGTTTGGTTGCCCAAAAAGAATCTGCAACCGTCAGGCATAGAGAAGAGACCAGCTTCTCTCATCATGGCGGCAGTGCACGTGGGCCTGGTCAGGAAACAGGCGCTGACAGGGCCCCTTCGAGCAGGTTGCATACTGCTCATATCAAGGATGACAGCAGTCAAACTTGCACGAGTAGTCCATTCCGGGTACACAAGGACCGTGGCGCAGTCGGGCCAAGTCCGAACTTCAGTGGCCAGAACACATTCACTGAATGCGAGGCGGAGAGGGCCAAGCCTTCTAGCGACATCCCGCTCAAGGTCCCGAGTTTCGCATGGCATGCTCACTTCAACTTCCAGGCATTCCGGAGTGAAGAAGGGGGCAATGACATATACACCCAGAATAGCAGTGGACGCCTCAACTCCAACGGGGCCCTCAAAGGGTCGAACTTCGGGTGGCAAGGGGTCAGGCCGATCATCGCCTCGAAACCACGGCCACCCATCGGAATTCATAACAGGACCCTGTGCCTGCTCTTCAAGGGCAGGCAGCTGCATAGCACAGATAGGAGTCGGCAGGGCCATAAACAGCCACAGATAAAAGGGGGCCCACCATGGCCCACGCAGCGGGCGCGCGGGGGCTTTGCAAGGCGCAACATGCGGAGTACGCGCCCGACGGGTGCGAATGATGCCTCCTCGGTCAGTTTTCAGGCAGCAGGGGCGGCCACAGAGGCCGAGGGGCAATAGCACTGCGCAAAGCGTACGGAGAGGCAGGAGCCGTTTTGCCCAGGCAGGGGAAGGGCGCCTGCCAGAGATCGCACCGACAATCAGCCGTCCCTGGAGGAAGAGGATCCAGGCTGCAAAGCTTCTGGCCAGAGCTGTAGTCGCCTCGGGCAAGGCAACCAAGCCGCAGTCATAATGCACTGCGGAGCACAAGAGTAGCAGGCCAGCAAGCATCCAATGCCGCGCCCGGTCATCTGTAGCCATAGGTGCACATATCCAGGCCGAACAGAAAGGTGAGAAGGCACTGCTGCAAGGAACGCACCAGGAATGGCAGAGTGCACACAGGTGTCCAACACAGAGTCTTGTCCTGGCCACAAAGCGGAGGGCCACGACGGCAAGTCCCAAACCGAAGACGAGGCAAGCTCCCACGGAGCAGGCGTACGCGCCGGAACAAATCCCAATATTCCAACGTAGCCCTGTACGGAAACCGGCCTCCCCATCAGCGCGAGGGGAACAGAAGCAACGTCTGCCTGAACGTGAATGTCGCACGCGGCGGTGCGGTGGTGGAGTAGCGGGGCAGACATTCCGCTGCTCCTGGGGTAAGGGCAGGCAAATGGGGCAGGCTGGGCTCCAAAACCCTAGGGGGGACAGGGGACCTAGCAACCCAAAGCAAGGATCAGGAGACCTTGGGAGGGCGAACAAAACTTCCCAAAAGGTCGTGCAGTGTGGGGCGTGTACGGCTGCGAGCCCAGAGCCACCGATCTCACTATTTGGCGCCCGTAGCATCCCGTCTGCAACTTGGCAAAATGACCCTGACAGAAGGCGCAGGGTTGCACTGCTTGCACCCATGCCAGGAGGCACGAGCGAGGGCGAGGCTCCCCAGACCCTAGGACAAGCCCAATCCTGGGAAGGGGGAGCAGAGGAGACAGGAACCCCAGGGACGGAGTCAGCACAAACCCAAAGCTGACCCAATCCAAGGCGGCTCCTAGGCGAGGATGGGTACAGGGACCTGCGAGGGCGGTAGGCGCCGTTGGTGAGAGGACGTCGGCGCATGCAGTCCTGAGAGAAGGGGCCACAAAAGACCTTCCATCCACACGCAAAGCCAGCGAGGAGCCGGGAAGGAACAGGGCAGAGGCAGGATATGAGGGACGAACAAACTGTACAGTCCGCCGGAAGAGTCCTGTACAAAGCTGCTCTCAGAGAGGTCCTCTCAGTAGCCGCGGGGACAGGCATGATCCTTCGGTCTTGACCGGGGGGCAACAAGAAGCAGCGAGATCCGAAATGTCCCCGTGACAGATGGTTCTCGAGCTGTTCAGGGCCCCACAGCCGACCTTGAAAGACCAGCCTGTCCAGGCGGCTCATGTACCGGCATTGGCCCCCGGCGGTCTGCCAACTTCCTCTGCATCGTGGCCATCTGAATCGTCGCTGTGGATCGCAGCATTGGCCAGAAGGTTCCGGGGCTGTGGGACCACGTCCCGGCCAAACGCTTGAAGCGCCTGCCCTCGTGGCACATGAGCCGCTTCGGGATTGATGGAGACTGGCTCTCCAGGTCCCATACCCGCCGCAATCATTGCCGCACGGCGCTGCTTGAGCTGCTCCTCCAGGGCAAGGTCCTCCTCGGTTGAGCGGCCAGGTCGTGACTCGAGGTCTGGTGCTCCACCATCCGGACCAGCAGCACCAGGTCCGTAAGGGTGTGGCCGTGGGCGGCTGTGTGGTCGCGGGGCAGCATGTCGTGTGTTGGCCTCGGGTGAGGCCTGTGGCGGCAATCTGGTCGAAGGCGACAGCTGGTACGGGTCCCTGGGAGCTGCACCACCAGTGTATCCATGTGGATCCGGAGGGGGTGGTTCGCGAGGCGGGGCCCCCGACGGCGCCGACAGTGACTCCCACGTGGGTCCAAATCCTGGTGGCGGCCCATGCAGAGGGGCCGCTGCTGGCTGGTTCAAGGGCGCAGCTGCCGAGCCATCCGCTGCACCCTGCTGGTAAGCACGAGCCAAGGCCTGCTGCAGTTGTGCATCCGAAAGCTGAGGACGGGCCTCTCGCGGCGCCCCATGCAGTCTCTTCGCAGCTGCCAGAGCATCCGCAAAGAAGCCAGGTCCTTCCACCTCCATCGCTGGGGATGCACGTATCAGCTCGTCCCATGTCGTACTCTCCGCTTCGGGCTGGACTGCACGGCCACCATTGGCCACGATCTCTTGCATGGCGGCGGCGGCTGCCTTGCCAGCCACGAGTGCTTCCTCCAGGTCCGACTCCAGACGCTTGAGATCCGTAAGGAACTGTCGCTCCTGGTCCGTGAAGGCTTTCTTCATCTTCTGCGCATAAGCATTCCACTTCTCGCGCCGGACGACCAGGTCCTCTCTGATCTTCCTGGCCCTCTGATCCGCACGACGAGCGGAAGTGAGGGCCTTCTGCACTTCCTTGGCAAAGCCTCCACTGATGCTGACCAGGTCCTCGTCGCCTTTCCCGGGCTTGCTTTCCCGCTGTGATGGCACCGGGATCTGGTCGTACCGCAGGGTTGCCAGATCCTGGGATGGCTTCGGGGAGTGAGCTCCCCGCCACAAGTGCCAGTTGTATGGCTGCGATCCACGCGAGTCCTGCGAATCCTGCCATCCACCTTGGCGGTCTTTGCCCCATTGTCCGCGGTCTTTTCTGCCACCCATACGAGCTTGAGAGCTCTCCCTGTAAACAGGTGCAGAATGATGCAATTCGAGAAGTCGAATTGCACGCCTCGGTGGGCGGGTGCCAGCACGCCTGGCTTTGTGAATACGCCGACGCAGGACCGAGCGTTTTCGGCGCAGTCGTCGGTGCCAGGAAGGCGAAGAAAAAGCAATGGCTTCGCAGAGCGTGCTAAAAGCACTGGGGCTACCGGCAATGCCCAACAGCGTGTTGGGTTCGATCCGAAACCCTCAAAGGAGCCACAAATATGAACAAACAACTTTTTTAAGAATAGCAAACACTTTTTCAATCACCAAACTCCTTGAAGCGACCCAACTTGCTCGAGCCTGAACCCGAGAACGACTTCAACAGTTTCTGATACCCAAGCCTCGTACTCTAATACCCAAACCTCCAAACTGCAACCCCAAAACGATCAACTCTGAACCCCAAACTATGAACTTTAAACCCAATCCTCTAAACTCTAAACCCAAAGCTCTAAATCCGAACTGCTGCTCTGAGCCGGAAAACTCTTCAAGTCCGTCTTATAATTCCTGTATAAAGCTCTATTAAAACTCCTAGAGAGCCCTTTTAACACCTTATGAAACCGCTTTCGATAAAACTTGCTTTGCACACAATGTAAACAACTCTGATGACTCGATGCCCAAGGTGCTGAGCCCTTTGTCCCCGACACGAGGCGCAGCAAAGGCAATGACCGCGTCGGGGAGGCGAGGCCAGGATTCCGCCTTTTTCTGCAGCGTTAGGGCTTTAAGGCTTTAGGGGTTGTAGGTTTTTTTTTTTGGGGAGCTGCTTTGGGTTGTAGGGTTTGGAGCTTCAGGTTTTCGCGAGGTTGATGGTTTAGCGAATGAGGGTTTTTGAGTTTCGCAAGGCTTTTGAAACACTTGGCAATGATATATGAGGGCTTTGCACATGCTTATCGGGGCTTTCGGCGCTCACAACTTTGGACTCTTCGGAACTCCCGCATCAAATGCATCCGAGGAAAATTCGGTTCGAAAGGGCAGCACACGTCGGTTTCATATCATAGGTTCATCCTTTTGCGTTGCACCCACGATCAGGGACACTCACAGACTAGGCTCCAAACAACGACATCCCCTACGTTTAAAAGCCCTTTCGCAAGCCCTGAAATAGGCCTACTGCTCCTGCAAACCCCAAACCCTGAAACCCAAGTCTTAAACCTCAAACCCACATACCTAAGGCTCCCCAACAGAGAATAGGGTAAACTTCCAAACCGCAAACCCTAAACTCTTTTGCAGCTGGGCTCCTTGATGAAACCCGTACTCTGAAACCCTAGAGCCTCCACCCTATGAAACGTCTCAACGGCAGGCCTCGGCCATTGTGGCGGCCAGAATCGCTAGGGCAGCACCGAGGCTGTGTCCCGTGAAGACCTCAAAGGGGTCCTAGGCCTACAGTTTAGTGTTATGGGCTTCTCTTGCCACCCACCCAGCTGCACACAGTGGCAGGGTTTAGGGCTTGGGGTGCATAGGAGATGTAAGTTGAGGGCTTAGGGGTTTCCCTGCCGGCCTTTAGGGTTTCATGGGAGGGCTTTATTTCGGGTTTGAGTCCTTGTGTTGTTGTTTGAATTTGGGTGCTTGGGGCTGTTGAATTTTGGATTGTTGGGCTGAGGGTTCAATTTCAAAGGCTTGTTCATTGGATTTATGGCGGAGGATATGACGTTCATCTCTCAAAGACTCGGCCACCCAAAGTCGGGACTTCGCAAGACTCGAGTCGAACACCAGCTGCAAAGCGACACAAAGGAAGTCTGACTTTGCTCATAAGTCTGACTTTGTTCATAGCTAGGATGTACCTTATCATGACTTCAAGAGCACAGTGATCTTAGTAAGTTCGGCTGCCTTCGTTCGATCTCAGCTGATCCCCAGGCTTCGCACTTCGACCGTCCTACCCGACAAACCCAAAACTTTAAAACCACCTCGCAAGCCCGAAAACAGCCCATAAAAGCACCACTGGACCCTAGGTTCCCCAGCAGCCCCTTACTAATGAGGCTACCCTTGTTCCTACTATTTGGTTTTTATGGCGGCAACCCTGGGGAGCCTGGAACCGCTCTACGGAGACCTTATCGCCTCCGAGATGCGAGCTTCCAATAGCTGGGGATGCCAAACAGGCCCTGCAAGAGGGTTCAGGGGCCGTGTAAACAAAATGGGTGCCGCAAGCTTACCACAAGGGTCCTTAAAGGGTGCTATTTTAGGAGTTGGGGCGTGGTTCAGTTCGGAGTTCAGGGGTTGGGGGGGAGAGGCACCAGGGCTTCGATTCTCCTACCTTGGAGCGACCTTTTGCGTCAGTTTACACACGAAAGAACTCTCCAAGACTTGGGGTTTACTATACCGTAATTCTTGCATCAGAATCAAGGAACTCTTGCTGGGAGAACAAGGACAACTGCGCCAAGTCCCGCACCTAGATTGGGCCGGACTTTGCAACAGGGTGCCCGCCGTTCGGCTTTCGGACCCTGGCACCCCATAGAGCTCTGGCTGAAGCGTACTACCCCGAAAACCTACAACCCTGCCTCATATGCATCAGAGGCAGACAAAGTAACCCCAAACTTATGACCAAGCAGGACCACTGAGTTTCTAAGCCCTATTATAGAAACTTCATAGATATCCGTTAAAGAACCCCTTCTGGTAACGCTTCCACAAAGCCCTCAAAGTCGAGCGTTTCTTTTTCCAGTCTGCTCTGCAAGTCGCCTGCTGGGGGCAAGCTGCCTTTGAAGCTGCCACTGCCAAGGCTTCAGGCGTGAGCTCGGTGGGTTTGCCTGGGTTTTTCCCAGGGTTGTGCCGGGCACCAAGCATGAAAATTCTAACAGACAACCGATGGCCTGATTCCCAAGCCGTCGGGAAAATGGACGAACAGCTCAAGCAGCTGCATGATCCAACCGGGGCGAAGCCGGATGTCTCGTTTATAGGCAGGGCTTCAGCCTGCATAAGCACCCCTTTCTTCAACCAAGGCCATGGGCGTGTGATTCTACCAGTACTCTCTCCAACCATGCTGCGGAAGCCCTGCGCGTCGAAAATCAGTCATTCGTGGTTCAACGCTTGGAGACGTCGAACTTGATGCCAGTCGTGGCCTGCGCACGCAGCATGCTTAGGCCACGCAACATCTAGACCAGCAGCAGTGTGACAAAACATGCGTGTGTATATGTTTATATATATATATATATATGCTTGTGGACGCCCATTTCTGCGTATACGCCTACTACATAACTACTATATGTACATACACACGCATTCGTCTGTGCGTGCATGCACATGCATCCATTTTTTTGGACATGTGTCGAGTTCTGGTACCGGTTGGGAAAAAACTAAGGTTGGAATGCACAGAACAAAAGACTTCGGCTTTCGCTACGGCGCCAGAAGACCACGTTGCACAGGCGAGATCTCCAAAGCAGGACCCCTCAAATCTTGGGGTTGTTGTTGCAAAAGTGATGTTCTCTTTTGCGGGCCCCCTAATTTAGGTAATCATCCTTTTTGTACTGCTGGGCTCAGGTTTAGTCACGGGCCACCGGGATTCCCTAAACCCTACACCCAGGTTCAAACCTTTGCCAGCAGAAGCCTCGCTAGCGGCCCACAGCATGCTCTGGGCGACTTCGTCAGCGAGGGGCTCCTCCATGTCTCGATACATGACTTAATCAGGGCTTTAACCAGCATACTTTCGAGCATGTCGCCCTGAAAATCTTAAAGAGGTGCACCCCTCCTCTCCCTGACAGGGATCATAAAGTGCGAATTTACAGATCCTTGCCCGGAAGGTGTTTGTTCATGAAAGGTGGGAACCATATGACCACAGAGCCAAACATACAAATGTTTCACTAGGCATATGCAGATCTTCAGCACTGATTTAGCTGACTAGCTATCTAACCGGCTAGCTACTCGACCACCTAACTATATACCTGACTACCTAATTACGCAGCGAGCTAGCTAGCTAGCTGGTGGTAACGAAATAACTGATAGAATCACTGAATGACTGACTGATCGTTTGGCTCAGCAGGCACAAATGCATGGACACAGCGCACAATTGCCACTGCTTGCAAAAATTGAAAGTGACCTGCAGTTGACCTTGTTGCAATCGCCAAACCCAATAGCTTCAACCCTTGACGTGCTCACCGCTTGAAACTCACCAGCTTGACAGCGTAGCCCTGGCTCTGGGTTTGGTTCTACACATGCTGTAATTCATCTCGGAGACTTCTAGAACAACACAACTACACCTTCCATGTTATATATTACATATGAACAGTTACATGTTCAGTCTTATAACCATCTATCACACATGACGTCTTACATATGATACACTGCACAGTGTATCCTACCCACCAGCTGACGCAACGCTGCTCCCATGTCAAGAAGCAGCTCTTTCTCTCAAGAACCACCTCGGAATTTCACGGCCACAACACTCCGCGCTCAAAAGATTGTGCCTCTGATTGCACGCCCCCCCCCCCCCCCCCCAAACACAAAAATGTAGGGGCCTTAAAATCATAACCAGATTAGACAAGTGTGGTATATTGCCCAATAATGCTAATAAGGAGCCCCATACTAGTATTGGTAATTACTTGGGCCCCGATAATAATGACAACAATAACAATAATCTATGTATCTATTTTTGGCTCCCGCTTTCTATCTATCTATATATACACATATATTTGCCGTATATATTTATATACACACATACATACACTTTTTCTACATCTCAGTGTGAAGACCCGTGAAATGAGGTATTGCCCTTTTTCTGGAACCCTGGGCTCCTTCTTGAGCAGCCCAACCGGTCCGTTGTACTCGGAGGTATCGTGAGTTCCCGTGGCACCACCTGAGGGAAAAATCAGACTAACAGTAGTAATAGTACTCGTAAAAACGACAGGGAGAGTAATAGCAACAACATCTTACGAACCATGCCAGCAATAGTAGATATGACGATGAAAATGATCTCGCAAGCCGCATAACAGTGAAGAACGGAGGCTGGGGATTGCCAGAACTTTCTAAGCAATTAGCAAGCTTTGTCATCCTTTTGGTATCTTTATCGAGTCAGTACTTGTCGTCGTCGTAGTAACAGAAGGAGCAACAGGAGCAGGGGAGTAGCAGACCACAGGAGCATACATGTCCTCGGACTTCGTAAGCAGAGTTTGTCCGCACAATGCCACGCGAATATCTGCAGTCAGGGTCTGTATACCCGCGTTTCTTCAGCCATGTAAAGAAGCAAAAGTTCAGGTGCGCTTCACACGAACCAAACGTCGCAAGCGGACGATAGTTGGCCGACTTCACTACACATCCGAAGCCTTACAGTGAAGGCCATCAGCTCAAAATCCGGAACCGGACACCCCAAACCAGAACGACCCGAAAGCATGCCGTAGGGGCCTTCACAATAAGAATAGGGCTTTGAGGGTTCCTTTTTGTTTCATATACCCCCAAACCCTATTCTAGCTATGAAGGCCACCCACACTCTAGTCTCCTTGTAGACACCCTTAAAAAGGAACCCCTGTTCTAACTACTAGGGCTCCGACATTTAGCGCCTGAAACTGCCGAGAAATCCCACGGGGGCCTTTTCCCAGAGGGCCATAAAACTCGCCCGACTTGGCTTCCGGATCGCAGGCGTTCCGCAGAATTCCGACAGTGGCCTCGGGGCGCGTGTACGGGTCCAAGCGATCCAAGCCAAACCCCAAACCCACCCAGATTTTCTAATATCACTTAAATGTGGAATATGCGTTAGATTATGATAGGGTCGGCGAGATGATAAGGCATATTCCTTAAGTCACAAAGGATGTTGGAAGATCTCGGGGTATTCGCTGGGATCTCCCCCCCCAAAACGGGAGCGCTGAGCCGGTGGCATCCTCCTCCGACTGGCCCATGAAGCTGATCATTCTGCTGCCTCAAAGCTGAGATCTTATTTTTACCGGAGAAGTTGATAAAATGCTGGAGGCTATATTACTTCTAACTATCTCTATCTATCTAATCTATCTATCATGAGGCTATACTATGTGTAACTATCTCCATCTATCTAATCTATCTCTCTATCAAGATCTAGCTATCTATCATATAAAGTTCAACACCTAGACCCATTGACCGGAACACAAGCACCAAGACCTTGTGCCCACGACTCCTGAAACCCCTAACCCCAACCCTTGCACAGGCCTTATAGACCCCATTTACACCCTAATAGTAACAATAATAGTAACATCCTAGTGCCCTTCTTTCGGCTCGGTCGCCGATCCACTTGGGAGTGCTGCCGAAGTCGTTGGCACCTCCTGCTTGGACGGTGCCCTGGGCCAGCCTCGGAGAAGTGGATGCGGTCTTACAGGCTTCAGAGGCCTGAGTTGATCCAACGTTTTGGTCCTCCAAGGCGCTGACGACCAAACAGTGACAGCTAATACACGTACTTGCAGACACACACGTGCACGCGCACACGCTTTCTAGGCATACACAAACACTCATGCACACATGCACCTGTACCCATACACACACGCATGCGGACACAAAGGTATGTATGTATATATGTATTCACACCGACATGCACGTAAAGTCATACAGCACATATACACAGAGACATAGGTACATACCTACACACGGACTTATGTACGTACATGCAGACACACGGACATACATGATGCAGGGCTGCCACCCCCCCTCCCCCCCCCACCCCATGGCATCCTCCTCCCTTCCCCCCCGCCCGCCCTGTGGTGTGGGGCCTGTGGTAGTACTATTTTTGCCGCGACATTCTTATGTGTTACTCCTTGTCTTCCCTCTTGCTGTGGCACCGGTGATACTGCTCATGATGTTGTGCTGCTCTAGACCGGGACATGAGTCGACAATCAGAACATGCTCAACATCATCCTTGTCGTCGTCATCTTCATCATTAATACCTTCAAAAGAATATCTGCCATCATCACCATCGCCATACAACCCTCATAATTCAGCATTGCACTTCATGTCAGATGCTGGAAACTACTGCGCCGATTGCCGCTTTCCGCACACGGCCGGGCATAGCGCGACACTCCCCATCCGCGCACAAGGTCAAGGGGCGGGCAAGGTGCGGGCCGGGGCGGGCAGGGCGGGTGGGCGTGCAGCAGCAGGGCAGGGGGGGGTGGGGTGGGATACAATTGGGGGGAGGGGGGTGGCGGCCCGGGACCCGAAAGCATACATACATACATCCTGAACTTTACGATCGACATGTGAAGTTTCGGAACCCCAGCCCCTTTTCGGACGGAGTGGCTCAGTCGCAGCGACGCCCGGGTGGGCCACTAGGCTCTTGACCTTAGTGCTCTTTGTGAGCCCAGTAGTTTTGGAGATACATGCACCCCAGGTTCCCGATGTTCTGCCTTCAGGTCTTATGGTTGACCTGATCTTTCCCTTCCGAGGCCGGCACAACAACATCCGCCCCTGAACAAACACCTGTGGAACCTTGCCAGCGTCGCTCCAGTGGGACCCAGAGGGTCCAAGGACCCAAATAGTAGGGTTTTAGGTCCCAAATCCATACTCAGAATGGTCTTTGGACCTTGAAACCCGACTATTTGGGCACCTGGACCCTTAGGGGGACCCACTTATAACTCCCCATGAACCTTCAAGTACAAGGACAAGGGCATTGAGCTCTCGACCTTGGACCCAGCCTTTTGCAGGCGATCGTGGAGGGCATAGGTGAAAACCTGGGCTACCCTTTTTGGGTCCTTACTATAATACGGCACCTGATATTTAGGGTACCCAAAAGGGGGCCAATCTTTTGACAACTACCCATACGAATATTGGTAGTATAAAACTGAATGCACTACAAGATAAGACCATGAAGATCCATGAAGGACGTAGCTTTGAGGACTCAGGGCTTAGGCTTTCGGGCTTCGGGGCTAGTGCTTTAGGCACCCAGCGTTGTGGTACCTTGTTTGAGGGCTCATAGGGCCTTGCCTACAACTTTGGAGCTTGGGGCCCTACAGGTTACGTAGGGTGTTGGGGTTCGGGCCCAGTGTTCAGGGTAGGTTCTTTATGGAAACGAGTTTGTCTAGCCTTTTTGCAGCTCACCGAAATCTTTCAGGGAAGGAGGAGGACCCGTGAGCCCAGGAACCACATTGGCAAGCTTGCTCTGCTGGTATCGTTCGAAGTTCGCGCCCTTGAACATGGTGTCGCTGTCACCACCCAGATTCCCACCGTTCTTTCCCAGATACTTCTCCTCAAGACAGCAATCGGCGGCAGCACTTGGAGGATCGGATGACTTAGGTTGAGCGTAGATAAGATCCTGACAACACCCGTCTGGTCAAGCTATAAAGCAATTCCCCTGAACTCCGAAGGTCCCTGAAGATCATTCGGACCGACATCCAAAAACCTCCGTGCGGGCATCACAAATCGAAGGCCGACCTCCCAAACACTAAATTCCGCAGTGGCCGCCTTTCAATAGGGGCAGCGAGAGGCCCAGAACTGAAAGGATGTGATATTACTGTACCGGGCGACCTCGAATCGGAACTCGCAGGGCCCCACCCTAATTTCACATCATGTTCCTCATATAGAGAATGAATCAAAGGATCCGGGGCGGTTCGGGACAACCGAGACAAGCTTCGCAACGCTTCGCAATACTATGGGTCTTCTCCTGGGTGTCTATAAACTACATACTACGATTTGGGTGTTCCTCAGAGGATCAGAAGATGGACTTGGATGTAAGAAGGCTGCAAGTAGGGTTCTCAGTGCCCTCGTTCATTTGAAGTCTTGCCCCACTGACGTATAACCTTCTTACCACGCACGTCCCCTGATCCTCGAAAGCAGGATCCAATGCCGGCAAGTCCAAGAGAATTGTGAACACTTTACCTCTCCTGGAGCTTGTTTTCAATTCCATCCATCGCGCGGGCAGCACTGGAGTGATTGACCACGCGGGCCTTCCAAGGGCCCGGGTTTCGGGCATAGAAATCTCTAGGGTCTGAGGCTTAGGGCCTTAGGGCTGAAGCGCCGTTTAAGTGTATCCTTGCCACTTGCAACTCGGCACCACCCACGTCTAAAGGGTTTTGGGTTATTCGGTTTTGGCCAAGTTCCAATAAGAGGCAAGATGGGGTTTCTGCTTTTGGGGTTTAGGGCAAAGAAAGTGTCAGAGATACAGAACCCACACGGAAACAAACAAAAGCAGGATCCTTACTAGTCAAGGATCACGGCGAAAACAAAACGGATGCACCGAGAATTCAGGATTGCGCGCCTTGCAAGCCCGTCCTCAAGTCTTGGTATTGTTGGGCCGGGCCGAGTCCAGTCTCAGAAAACGCAACTTGAAGTCTTCGGCCTTTTTTGGGCTTTACAGGGCTGTATAGGTGAGTGGAACCCCCACCATATACCCTAAAGTTGCAGTTTTCTTAAGATGAGAACTGTCAGTGCATTCGTTCAAGATACTAGTCTTCGGAATCTTCCACTATGACTGACAGCAGGACGGGGGGCATGTCGACGCGAAAGACACCATTCGTCACCATAGTAGCCACCATGACCATCATCGTGCTCGAGAATCATTATTCTTGTGACCCACAAAGACTGGCAATAGTGGTGGGAGCAACAACAGTGATGATACTTAGTGTTTCTAATCGGTAATTCTGTGTCAACAGCAAGAACCCTCGGCTTGTCCTGTTCATGTAAGCGCTAAACCCAGTACTAAGTGATACTCATACCAGATTTTTTAACCATAACAATACTGTCCGCACACATAACAAACACTAAGTCCTAAACCCTGCGTAGGTTCTAGGAGGGTTCTATGATCCAGCATAGGTGCAACTCGGCTTTGTGCCAGATTCCTCCCCGGCCTCGCCGCGCAAGGATGCCGCCTTCTCGAGTAGGGGCATGCCTGAAAAGCGATACAGCTTTTGTGCAAGTATTCCGCAGGGCGCCTTGTTACAATCATACTCTATAAACATAAAATGTAACACACATACACATTTCTGTTTCTCTATGTAACTATACCGAGAAAATCCTATTCTAATTCTTAAAGCTCCTATACTAGGGACTAAGAGTTTTGGGGTAACCGCAGCCCAGACACTACCCCAAACCCTGCGCCCTAAAACAGAGCTGAGATGCACAGGCATGTCAGGAGGAAGTGGGAGAGATGGTTCGTCTGCATCTGCACGTCACAGCCGTCTTCCGTTGCCTTGTCACCGAAGCCCATGATGCCTTTCAGGCATTCTACAACCATTTTATTTTATAAAGTCTTTAACGCTCATCTCACGGTTTCTCAGGGTTCGGACTAAGCTTAGGTTGTGTGCAAGATGTAGGCAGCTCTCTTATCTACGCCCTGATAGATTTCTGCTCCTATTCTCGGACCAAGGCCATTACATGAGGTGAGCCTGAAGTTGTAAGTCCTTTGAGGGTGTTTCGCACATAGATTTGATCCTCCAGGTTTGCCATTGTTTTGTTGAGGGAAGTTGGAGCCGAAGGGGGGGTAGGGGGTTCAACGTCCAAAAGACGATGCCTGCGTTGTTGCAGAGGACGTCGAGTCCGCTTTGCCCAAGCTCTGCTTGTAACTTCTCGGCGGCAGAGCGCACGCTCTTGAAGCTCATGAGGTCGCAGGGGACGTTCCTGAAAACGGCCGCTGCCAGGATGTTCACAGTATTGAGCTGACGAACATCATACCCACTCTGTCTTCATAGAATCACAATAGCAATATTTATTTTGCCGACCTCCCTCCCCACCTGAGGAACATCATACCTTCTCTGTGAATCATGATAACACTATTCTGTTCGCCGACCCCCCTCCCCCCCCCCCCCCCCCCTCATGGTATCTCCCTACCCACCACCCCCGCCCTCATGGTATCCCCCTACCCACCCACTTCCCAAGCCGAATCTGTGTGACTGCACACACTGTTTGCGCATGAGGGCCCCCAAACCGTCATCTGTCACAAGGATCGCGTCCCAAAGACAGCCGATCCGTGTGACGGTACAAATTTTCCGGCACGATTCACGCGTGAGGCCGCCAAAGCCGTGGATCGCGTCCCAAATACGCCCGATCCTTGTGACTGTGGACACTTCTTAAAGAATGAACAAGGCAACCGTCACGAGGATCGATTGCGTTCCCTGACAGGCCCGATCCCTGTGACAGTTGGCCCATTGCAACCTTATGGCAATTGCCCCCAAAGCGACAACTGTCACGAAGATAGTGGCCCTACGATCACTAGAGCGATAATCATTACCAGGCACGTTGGCCGAAAACACCCGACGACCAACCAAAGAAACATTAAGATGTTTGAGTCAATGATTTTGATGATGACCTTCGTCCCCATCATCATCATCATCATAGAGATGAGTATACCAAACACCCAAAGCAGACCCCCAAACGCAGGGGGGAACCACTGCGAGAAAACCCGAACCCATGCCAGGGGAACCACCCCAAGCAGACCCACCCCCCACCACCACACCACACCACAGGGAGGGGGGTGGGGAGGGGGAACGATTGGGGTGGGAAGGGGGTGGCGGGATCATATAGATAGATAGATGGATAGATATCTAAAGACAGCCCATGCAAATATGTATATATGTATATATATACACACATGTACATACATGTATATATATATATATATATATACACACATATTTCAGTGTAAAGACAAATTTTAGGAGGCTTCTTTCTGGCCCAAGGCACAGGGGCTCTGGCGCCTTGGATTCCTTGGCCAAGTCCCTGAGGCCTTGAAAGGCCTCGTCCGCCCGGTGGGAGCTCCGGTTCCTCGGAGAGGGTTCGCGGGGTTTGGGGTTTCCGGGTTTACGCTCTCACGACTCGGACATGCCAGGCGAGGTTCTGGGTTTCAGGGTTTAATATAGGGGCCGTAATAATTAGAATAATCTTTTGGTGCCCGTTATACTATAATTTTGGGGGTTTCAGGGTTTGGGGTCTTTTTTCCCACCCGCCCAGCTGACAAAGTCGAACTGCAGGGAACTCGTCCAGGTCTTAAACTTGTGGTTTTAGAGGCTTAGAGTTTCGGCTGCCGGTTTTTGTGCGACAGGTTAAGGTTTCAGGGCTTATTTGGGGTTTGGGCTTGGGTGTTTTAGTGTTGTTTTGGGCTTGTGGCTTCGCGGCTTATGTAAAAGCTTAGGGTTCAAGGCTCCGCGATTTCTGAAAAGGGGGGGGGGGGGGCGTGGGGTTTCAATGGATCATCGTAGAAAATATTCATAGGGCATTTCACGGGTTCAGCCGCTTTTTGAAAGGAGTCCAATCGGGGTTCTTGGGTTTGATGACGTTTTGATGGGGAAGCTAAGGGTTTTCACAGGTTCACAAAGTTTCCCAGCGGGCTCATCATCGCTGTTTTCCAAGGTTCTAGTGTGATTTTGCAATGCGTTTTCTACTGCTTCTGATTCTACGAGTTTTGCATGCCCTAAACCCTAAACCGACAGGCTGCGCGGGTGCATAGCTGGGTTGAGCTTCAGGCTTTGCTTTCGGGAACTAGGGGCTTAGGGCAGTGCAGAGCTTCAGAAATCGAAAGGTTATGGTCCCCTCAACCCTGAACCCTCTGTAGCAGCCCAGTCACAGCATGACGACCTTGGCGCCCTTCCTGGCACATGTTCGCGCGAAGATCCTGCAGGTTCCCCAGATTTGCTGTGAAAGGTTGTTGCAGGGTTTAGGATTTGAGAAGTTCGGACATGTTAGTTGTTGTAAGGTATCAGGTTTTCGGACAAGTCCAGGTAAGGTCTCACGACGAAACTCGACAAAACACTGGTTTCGACTCGCGCAGCCGCTCGAAGCAGGCGACGAGAACAAGGAAGAAACGTGTAAGAGTCTAACAAGGCCTAAATAGTACCATGAACACCCCCCAAGAATGCCAGCGGCACCACTGATCCAAGACTGCCTCAGGGCGTAACTCGAACCATTCAATCCAAGAGGTCAACTTAACTAAAACGATGAAACCGGGCAGCAGAGCACCCGTCGGCCCCTACTTATTTCAGTCTCAAAAGTTGGCTGCAATCAACGAATGCTCACATGTTCAAACCTGCCGAAGATGGATGAGAGAGACGGCACCCCGCTACCATCCAAGAACTGTTGGAAGAATCCAGGCTTTCCAACTGGCATCACTACTTCGCAATTGTTTGCGCAGTCTGCGGGTAAGCACGTTGACACATCAGCCGACCAGCAAACTCCAAAAGGGAGTTGAACAGAGTCCTCCTGCTCGCAGCCGTCGTGTCTCCGACACAGGTGCGAGAACTAGCTGGGAATGGGCACCTTTGCAAACATCTCGTCGCTGATGAGCATGCCTGGGCACGACCCTATGGTTTTGTAGAAGAAAACTTTCTCCATCTCACAATGCTCCATCACAGCGAGAAGGAGGAGGAGCTTGGGAAGAATAAAAGCGGGAGGCTCCCGCAGCTCGCCTTGACAAAACGGGTATTGCAACAGCTCGTCGTCGCTTTTTCCGATCACACCCAGCATAACGTCACGGATCGCCGGGGCAGTCATGGTGAACTGGCATGAACTGCTCTCGTCTTGCGCCGAAACTTCTTTTGACCGCTCCGAAAGGCCCATGCCCAAAGCCTCACAGGCCACACAGAACATGGAATTTGGACCACCGATCGCTGCGACGTTGCCGTGCCGCAACCAGCTGGGCGTAGCAGGAAGCATTCGCTTCAGATCCAATAACAGTTGCTCCGCATGTTCTGCTCTGACGGGATTGGGTGAGGGAGTCTCGGCGAAGCTGTGGCCCTGAATTTCCACCAGCATGGATGTGACCACGCCCGTGCCCAAGCATCCGAGGTAAGTCTCCAGAGCCCCCGCTCGGGCCCGGGTGGTAATCTGAAAGCTGGCGCCTCCAGAGTCCCAACAGATGGTGCTGTCCCCACTTCTCGCGAGCGCCGCTGCAGTTCGAAACCCCAGCTCTGCTTCCTCGTCCTGCGACAGCACTCGAACTGGAAGAGCCAGCTCAGCGAACACGCGTTCGAGGTAAGCTTTTCCATTGCTGGCCTTTCGGAAAACCTCCGTCGCAACAGCGACGCGTTCATGGACGGCCACCGATCGGTCTTCGCACTCCTGCAGCAGGCTCCGGAGCACGGAGACACCCTGCTCCTGGATGGCGCTGCTCAAGCTCCCATCAGAAGACTGCTTCCAGTCAACCGCAAACGGCACTGGAACTTCTTTTGCGAAGAGCTCCTGGATACTTCCTTCAATGACATCGGCAATCACGAGCTTGGTCGCGCCCGAGCCAATGTCGAAGGCTGCCCGACGCAGGCTGGCCATGCAGACGGCGCTTCTGTCCTAGAGGCCTTATCAAAGGCTCCTGGGCACGGCCGAGCACATGCTAATCTCGAGAGGCAGCCTGCAGATCGTGCAGCAACACACCTGGAGCAAGCAGGGCTTCCGTGTACTTTGGGGCTTTGGGGTGTGGGGTTCCGGGTTGACGGAGCTTCCAGGTGCAAGTCCATGGGCATGCGCGCATTTGTCTCATGGTCCGGCCGTGGCAATTTCAGAGCCCTAAATTCCAAAACCCTAAGCTCCGCGCGCCAAACCCAAGGTTCCCGAGCGGCGAGACAAGCACTGAAGTCCTTCCGGTGCCAGAGGTGCAGCCCGTCACCGCAATCACCTCTCAAGGGGCTCCAAGTGTTTTTTTTGCAAGTTCCTCTTGTGCCAAAAACATTGAAATCCTGAGTTTTGGGGCTTGGGATGATCTCGAATTTGCGCACATTGCTCAAACAGCGGAGTGCTTGGGGCTTAGGATTTGAGGATTTACGGTTCAGAGTTTCGACTCCAGGGTTCGAATGCTTAGACTCTGCATACCTCAACACTCGAGCTGAACAACCGCGGGCACTCAGCCTGCCTTGCCCGACAGGCTCGGCAGGCCTGCCACCAGGCCATCGTAATGCTGGTTGCCGGTACCGCAGCACAAGTTGCCTGGGATCGCTGAAGCAACTCAGGGGATTCGAGACTCTGGAAGCTACGAACTCCGGCGAGCGGCCCATAGCGAGATCTGAAGAGGAGCGAGCCGAAGGAACGTCTGGATTCAGTATTGTGGTACTGACCCTTCTGAGCTGAAATGCTCGCAGGACGGCTGGGTCCAGTGTCGTGCGCTTCGAATGCCAGAGACGAACCTGCAAAATGTAGCCTGCTGCCCCCCGACTTACATACTGACTGTATAACTTGACTACAAAGATACCTGCTGCACACCACGCCTTACAATGCAACCCGTATGGAACCCTTGCAAAGCACCCACCCCTATGGAACATCCCGGAACCCTAAACACCGAAACCGTGAACCTGAACAACAAGGGGGTCAGGGGGAGGTTGAGGATCCGAAAGGCACAGATTAACTCTGCTCCGTCTGACAGATTCTTCAGGGGCAATGAGCTGCTGTGCAGCTCTGACGCTTATCGAGCATGAGGCTCTGTGTTGTTCATGTAGGAGTCTCAATAATTAGAATAGGGCTTTGGGGGATAGTATACCACGATGGTAGTAAGGAGCCCCCAAAACCCAATTCTAATTAGTAAGGCCCCTACATTACTGCAAACCTTACCGTACTGTTCTTCCAGAACGATACTAGCGACTATGAATAAGGAAATAAAACCACTCTATTTGTCACGGAAACCCCAAAACCCTAAACCCTTAAGCCACACACATCTTATATCAAACCGCTTACCTTTGGTTACTAGGGAATGGGGGAATGGGCTCATGCTCATGCTCGAACAGATCCAGAAGGCGGCCTGGGTTCCCTCGATGTAGCCTGTGACTGGGGTTGCTGTAAGGGTTCCGAGGCTTGACTAGAGTGGTGACTTTTGGAGGGTGTAGGGTTTCTATCAGGGCGACTACAGTGGCTACTGTGAGGACTTGGGATTTGGGGTTTTAGATTGAAACTTTAGGGCTCTAGTGTTTTAGGCCCGATCACAGTTATCATCATGGTCATCATAAGGGTTGCGTGTTCAGGGTGCGGCCTTTCCCTTGTTCTCATAGCGATTGTTTGTTTCTTGCCTCTCATGGCTTGGTTCGGAGTTTGGGGAAAGTCAGTGAATAAGGGCTTCAACTTTCACTCTCGGCAATATTGGGCAAGGATACACGAGTTTGAGGCTCAGCACGGGTCTTATCTACATCCTCTTTAAACTCTCCAGCAAGAAGTCCGTTTTCCCAGGGGTGGGTTCAGGTAAAACCGCCAGGGCCTGCAATACCCCAGATCAAGGACTACCTTAAGCTACCAGAACCTGCTTCATCGCAGGGTCCGTCTAAACCCCTTCGACGGCGAATTTCAGGACCCCAAAACCAGTGGGCTCTAGCACGCAAACGCCAGAAGGTCTAGCGCTCCATGAATTGGTATGTTTAGTCTGCAGTGCAGCCTCTCGCTTACAAATTGCAATTGAGGCGGCAAGGATCCAAAATTCTCTCAGCCCCTCGGGGCCGAGATGAAAATCAGGTTGTTCATATCTCGTGGGTCGTATATGTATACGATAACAAGAATGGAACCTGTATCCTGAGGAACACCCAGTATAAAGACCCGGAAGCCAAGCGGTCGTAGGCTACCAATCGCAATGTCTTCAAAGATCCTATGGCATGTAATCCGGTGCCTAGGTCTCAATTTAAATGAGAAGTGGGTTCTTTGAGAGTGTCCTGCCATCTTCCGGCCTCGCGCTGGTTTTGGGACGTTCTACGATCCACCCGCTAAGTAATGTTTTCTGCAATTTCGGCGCCGGTGCTGTGAATCAGAATTCAAGCGGCTGGAGGTTGGGGAGGTCAGGAACTCATTCCGGCGCTTTTAATGATTTGATTAGAACTAGGTTTTGGAAGTAGCTCTTCCTTTTGCACTAAAACTAGTAGGTACTGGTACTTATTCCGGCTTCTATATAAGGGTTTTTAAGGTTTGAGATGTATGGCTAAGGGACTTCAGATGTCAAGATTGAGGAACAGGCGTGTAGAGCTCCTGGGTGCAAAAAGGCTCTCTTGGTGTAGGCTTACTTCCATTTCAGTCTTGAGTGGATGGAGGCATCAGGAGCGGCCACCACGCATATGGCTACGCAACACGGCAATTTCGGTCCGGACCTCAACGAACCCTACTTTGTTGGGTGGGCCTTCCACCCATTTCCGCACATGAGGCAGCACGCGCTGGAGCTCCAAATAGAAGCCCTGCCATTCAAAAGGCACTGTCGAAAGCCGAAGGATCCTGTACACACTCTTGTATTAAGCGCAGAAGCACGCGCGTTATCCACAGAAACAGTTCTCTCACTACTCATGCAGGCTACCGCTACTCCGCCTACTCCTCCGCCCGGCTACGACGACGACTACGGCGGCTGCTAGTACTACTGACACTAACACTGCATCACTGCCATGGTGAATTGAATGGAGAGTTACGGCAGAAGAACGAAGAGTAACAAACACAAAATCTTCACAAATATGAGACCGGTGGCCTCGTGGATGTTCACCTCCGAGGGTGCCTCGTTGCAGCTTTCATAAGAGTGACTGCCTTTTGATGTCGGTATTCCGCCAGTTAATGCATGGTATGTTTAGTTTTGGAGGGAACAGAGCGGAAGAGAGGGTCGGCCCTCACAACGAAGGAATGCACAGGGTGCGGAACAGAAATTGCCAGTCGGAACCGCCAGTCGCGCGCTTGGGGTTCGGCATCCTCCGAAAGAGAGACGGGAGAGAGTGCAGAGAGGATCTGGCTCGGCTCAGGAACCTGAGATCCCCTAAAACCTCCAGGGTAGGCACCCACAGCTGGGGCCTGGGAGCGATACTTCGCTTAAGGCCCAGCCCTGCAACATATCCTTCAATGTAGACCAAAAGGGACCATAAGTGAAAAAATGATTCGACCGATGATGTAGGACATGTTTTGGATTCTGAGTCGCCAGCTGGCCTGCACAAGTAGAAGATGGTTTTTTGCAGCACAGTAGAAGAGGGGGTTGGGGTGTACGTTACAGTATATGTCGAAAATGGGCGAGAGCGCGACCCTCTTAGTAACTACGTATTCCGACCCCTCAAAGACAAGCACGAGGTCCCATGATCCCGTGTGCACCCCGGGACTGAGCGCAGCCGATGGCACTGGGCCGTGAGGCCCCGGAGCCCCAAGCTCGACGTTCAGCCTGGGAGGTGTTATACGGCCTACGAAAGTGGTGCTCGGGTTACAAGGATTGATCTAGGGATCTGCCAGGGGTTTTAGAAGGGGTGCGAAGCAAAGAAGGCCTGGGAAGAGCCCTAGGTTCTTTTCGAGTTTACAAGTTGTTGACGGAGGCCTCAAAGCGCTCTCGAAGAAGGGTTTTCTTAGGCTTATGGTTTGCGAGTGTATGCCTTCGGGTCCACGGCCGGAGCGGACATGAATTCTGGAAGGCGAACCGTGCGATGCATACGCTTCATGCCCTAGCACAACCTAGTCGAGAACACCCATGTGCCGAGCGACATGTTGATGTCCGAGTCAATCTCCCAGTTCTGGGCTGACTTGGCCTATGCAGGCATCATTCCGTGTCGCTCTCGCTAATGATGGTCAAAGCTGCCATAAGACTCACGCAAGAGAGTAGCATGTAACAAGACGCTGTGGCAGCAGGACTTGGAGTGGCATTTTGAAGGTGGTTGCGAGGACATTTCGTGAGAGGTGGGTGTATCTTGGGGCTCCTGTAGTACACCGCAACTTCAAGGAGATTCTAGCCACAAAGACCACATTGTTCATAAAAAACACACAACAACGTTACAAACATGTGAAAAAACATATGTTGTGGCGACATGGGCTCCGACTTTTTGAAGGAATGTCTGCGGAGCTCTGTTGGAAGACCAATGCACTTGATCCGAGACCCTCGTAGAAATAAACGGTCGCCCCAATTTGCGTTCCCTCCAAAAACCGAGACGAGTTTTTAACAGAGCAGAGCTTTGGTTCATACTGACTAGGATGTGCTTACTGCCGGCACGGCATCATCTAATCAAAGTACAACATAGACCACGAGCAAGACCACAAATCACTTCAAGTTTCTCAACTTCCAATCAGCTGCCTGCGTGCCACGGAAGGACACCACGGCGACCTTTTGCAATTTCGCATGGCAGGGTTGGCGTGACTTCAGGGTTCGGTACTTCCAGAGCTCTCAGACACTAACGTCCGCTGGACCCAGAAAGGCCACGCAGCAAAGCCGCATGCGGCAGCTGACAAAATGACTGCGTGGCTATGCATTCGGATTCCGGAAGCTGGTGGTTTTTGCTGCACTCTGAGTCGGGGCAGGCTGCATCGGTGCAGGCTCCTTTACATGAAAGTCTTTGGACAGTTTCTGCTGTTAGGAGCTGCTACGCAGGCTTCCACACTGCGGCTCTGGCATCGGGGAGGGCGACTCATGTAAGCGAAGCCGCGAATCATCGCACAAACGGAGCATAATATAAGGGCTTCAATAAAGTTAGAAGAGGGCTCTGGGGGCCCATCATACCATACTTATAATAAGGAACCCCCAAAATTGTATAGGTAATTATTCAGGCCCCTATTTTAAGCAGCCAGCTCCAAGCCCCATGCGGGAGATACTTACGCCAAGGCTTCGCAATCGAAAAAGCCGCCCGAGTATCTGGCCTGCGCGCTGGCAGATTTGTAAACACGCGCGTGGACGTTCTCGGCATCGTCATTGAGGAAATACTCCTGTTCATGCAAACAGGTCACAGATGCAACCTGCATGTGCTTAACATCCTTGCGTACTGTGATGGCAGCTTCGGTGATCACGCCACAAACTTAGTGTATTGCTGGCGTCCAAGCAATTCCTCAGCCTCCCATGCAGCAAAACCGATGCCACTGTAGAAGTCTGCCAGCTCTTGAGCTCAGCCCTATAATGGCTGCTAGAGGCCTTTAGCCTTCCGCCCGAACACTCAAACCCTAAAGCCGAAAATCCCTCATTAAATCCAAGGCACTTCCTGAACCCCACAACCCTGTGCCAAGTCTTGCCTCCCAGTCGGAGATGCGCGGGCAAAGGTTCACCACCCGCTCCCGCATTCCTCGGGGGAGCTACGAAACCGGTCTCGGGGCCCCTACTTGGAGGGTCGGGGGACTTAGTAAGTAGGTAGTAAGTAGAACCCTAGAGGGGACCCTAATTGGGGTTATGGTACTTATAAGTCCCTAAAACAACCAGTTACTAAGTCCTCCGACCCTCCAAGTAGCTTCCGAACGTAGACAGGCGAGCTGCCATGCTTGGCTCGGGCCAGCATTTGCTTGGAGGCGATGCCAGCGTGCCTGCACGAGAACTCTGGCACTGCTCGGGTTCGGACTTTTCGGCCTTTTTCGGGCTACCCGAAGGTTGACCTCATTCAAAGAGGAGTTGGCATGTGAAAAAATGGAGGCAGAGCAGCGCCGGTCGCCTCGTGACGTCATCCAGCCGCCGGGCCTCTTCCGGTGCTTCGGGTAGGAGCACCTGGATGTAAGTTGAGCTGTCTTCTTACACCCCAATCTTCTCCCCCTAAGTTACTCTACACCCTTGCAACCCTAAACCATGAGCCTAATGTCAGTGCGAAAACAAGTACAGAGCCCCAATACACCCTTATAAGGCCCTAAACTACTCCCCGGCACGCCTTCGGGCTGCTCACCGCCAGGGACGCAGCAAAGCTGAGTGCAGCGTAGCTGGCCACGTCCGAAGATTCCCTGTGAACATTGGGGGCCACACAGGTTCTTATGCAGGTTTCACGGTTCTAATATTCTGGTTCGAAAGTTGTGCAAACATATACGTATATTTATCTTTGCACATGACATGTGCACACATGTATAAACAAACGTGAGCCAAATCAAACAAATAGGCACCAGTAGGGCCCTCATCCAGCAGCCTTGAACTTTCTTGGGCCGAGGGACAAGTCACCATCGGCCCGCCAGCCTGGGCCGGATAGGGATCCTACCAGGGGTGTCTTTTACGGGAACCCTTGCTTCAGAGGTTCCTTGAAGGCCCCCTTGAAGGGAACTAGAAGGGCTCAATGTACGGGCTCTATACTCTATAAGGGCCTTACGCTTTCGCAACCGGACAGACCAGACGAAGTTCTTGGTTCGCGTCGACAAACTAGACGGTTCACTTGAGTCAGCTTGACTTAAAAATTAAAAATCAGGGTCCCAACGGTTCTTGTAAAGGTCCCTTTACCGGATCTTTACGGGTTTCAGGTTTAGGGGCACTGATAATTAGAAGAATGTTCCTTCACTTCCTCTTCTGAAATCTTTGTGGTTGGAGCCGCGGGAGGCAGACGGTACGGCACTGACGAGCGGTGCAGGAAGATGCGAACTTTGCCGTCTGCATTCTTCTTGTAGCCGAATGAATGAATGAATGAATGACTGACTGACTGAATGAATGACTGACTGACTGACTGACTGACTGACTGACTGAATGAATGACTGACTGACTGACTGACTGACTGACTGAATGAATGAATGAATGAATGCATGAATGCATGAATGCATGAATGCATGAATGCATGAATGCATGCATGAATGCATGAATGAATGCATGAATGCATGAATGAATGAATGAATGAATGAATGAATGCATGAATGCATGAATGAATGAATGAATGCATGAATGAATGAACGAATGAATGACTGACTGACTGACTGACTGAATGACTGAATGAATGAATGAATGGATGAATGAATGAATGGATGAATGAATGAATGGATGAATGAATGAATGGATGAATGAATGAATGGATGAATGAATGACTGGATGACTGGATGAGTGGATGAGTGGATGAGTGGATGAGTGGATGAGTGGATGAGTGGATGAGTGGATGAGTGGATGAGTGGATGAGTGGATGAGTGGATGAAGGGATGAGTGGATGAGTGGATGAGTGGATGAGTGGATGAGTGGATGAGTGGATGAGTGGATGAGTGGATGAGTGGATGAATGAATGAATGGATGAATGGATGAATGGATGAATGGATGAATGGATGAATGAATGAATGAATGAATGAATGCATGAATGAATGAATGCATGAATGCATGAATGCATGAATGCATGAATGCATGAATGCATGAATGCATGAATGCATGAATGCATGAATGCATGAATGCATGAATGCATGAATGCATGAATGAATGAATGAATGAATGAATGATGGATGGATGGATGGATGGATGGATTGGATGGATGAATGAATGATGGATGGATGGATGAATGGGATGGAATGGATGAATGGATGGATGAATGGATGAATGGATGAATGGATGAATGGATGAATGGATGAATGGATGAATGGATGAATGGATGAATGGATGAATGGATGAATGGATGAATGGATGAATGGATGAATGGATGAATGGATGAATGGATGAATGGATGAATGGATGATGGATGAATGGATGGATGGATGGATGAATGGATGAATGGATGGATGGATGAATGGATGAATGGATGAATGGATGATTGATGAATGGATGAATGGATGAATGGATGGATGGATGGATGAATGGATGAATGGATGAATGGATGAATGGATGAATGAATGAATGAATGCATGAATGAATGAATGCATGAATGCATGAATGCATGAATGCATGAATGCATGAATGCATGAATGCATGAATGCATGAATGCATGAATGCATGAATGCATGAATGCATGAATGAATGAATGAATGGATGGATGGATGGATGGATGGATGGATGAATGGATGGATGGATGGATGGATGGATGGATGGATGAATGGATGAATGGATGAATGGATGAATGGATGAATGGATGAATGGATGAATGGATGAATGGATGATTGGATGAATGGATGAATGGATGAATGGATGAATGGATGAATGGATGAATGGATGAATGGATGAATGGATGAATGGATGAATGGATGAATGGATGAATGGATGAATGGATGGATGGATGGATGAATGGATGAATGGATGGATGGATGAATGGATGAATGGATGAATGGATGATTGATGAATGGATGAATGGATGAATGGATGGATGGATGGATGAATGAATGAATGAATGAATGGAGAGACGGTAGGATGCCAAGGTCCTTGCCGCCTGAAGAAGACAAGACTACATGGCCAACCGCTCAGCTGCCTCAGCAGCCGCACGAATGGCACCCATCTCCCAAGCCTTGGCTGCAGCACGACGTGTAAGCCAAGAGGCACGCAAAGCAGTCCTGCGCAAGCGGGCGCATGCGTTGGCCGCACAGTCATCCGCCATCTCGTTCCAGGTTTGCTGGACCGTGGGGTCCTCGCCTGTCCAGCGAATCCATCTCACAGGGCGCTTCCGGTGACTCGACACCCAGTGCAGGGAAGTCGCCACACCATGATTTAAGAGCTGCGCACGCAAAGCACGTATGCTGCAAACCAAACCCTGCAAAGCAAGATCAAAACCATCACTCAGGACAGCGTTGATGGCCGACTCGCAGTCGCACACCAGATGAATGTGCCGCAATGCAGGCCGCCGCGCGCTGAGAGCAAGGCTCAAGGCGGCCCACAATGCATGCAACTCCGCCTTGTACGAGCATTGGTCCTCCCCTGGCAGAGACAACGCGAAGCGCTTCTGCAACAACGGAAAGACAACACTGCATGCGCCGAGCCCATGCGTGCCGCCGTGGTTGGAGCCGTCTGTGGCAATCACCAGGGTTTCATCCTCAAAAGAAAGCTTCTCAGCAAGTTCCTGGACGTGCTCGAGAGAGTCAAAGCAGGGCGGGGGAGGAGGCACCTCCTCGCCAGGAAACGCGAACAAGCGCTCAGCGGCACGGTGCTGCGGTGCCACAATCTCGCGTCTCAAGTCCGAAGTCTGGGGGCAGCACCAAGTCAAGTGAGCCCTCGACGGAGTGCGGAGGCCACAGAGGCAAAGCTGTTGGGGCCTAGGGTAGCGAGGCTCTAGGTGCCAAAAGGAACCGCCACTGGCGAGACAAGCACGACGAAGAGCCGGTGTCTCAGCAGAAGCCCGAACTGAGCAGTGACCTTCGGCACGAAGGAAGGACCCAGGCGGAGGGCCAGGAAGAGCCAGACCAGTCGCCAAGCCCGGAGCTGACCTGTGCAGGGAACGCGAAGTGCGGCCACAGCGCGCAAGGGAGGCCCGACGCAAGGGCAGGAGAAGCCATTCCTTAAGGATCTCAGGTCCGTCAAAACCCAGCCTAAAAGTACGCAACTTGCCACAGTTGTCAGTCCAAGACAAAGCGTTGCCGCGCGCCGAGACCGACCACTGGAGCCGACGCAGGAGAGGCAGAACCGTGGGAAGGACTCTGTACCAAGGGGTCAGAGCCTCAGGCAAGGGTAGCAAATCCAACCACGCACTCCTGGAGGCGTGCATGCGCAGACCAGCGGACAAGGTGGCCCAATCACAGCAGAACTGCACGTGCGTCAGCCAACCGCAGACCTCGTGGTAGAGAACCGCCGGGCTCTCGTGAGTGAGATTCCTGCCAAGAGTCCGTCTCACACAGGCCTTCACATCAGAGATCTGCTAGAGAAACTGGGAAAAGCACAAGGCACGCAGGAGCAAGCACACACGCGAGGTGTGCGCAGCAAAGGCAGGGATGTAGCGCATCCGAGCCTTGAGCTTAGCGACGCACAGGCGCGACAAGGTCTTGGGCAGAGACGCGTCAAGCGGGTGGTCAACACCAAGAAGAGCCAGAGTCTCAGACCTCGGGAAGCCCAGAGCAGAGGCAAGACTCTCACAGTCCCTGTAACCCACAACCATGCTCTTGGATGTGTCACAGGTGAACCCAAAACCGTCGTCGAAGACACGGCTTTTGGCAGAAGCCTGGAGCAAAGGATCAGTGCAGAGCGGCTCGGACGAAGGCGCCAAGAGCATCGTCCGATCATCTTGGTAGGCCAAGGTGCGGACACGAGGCGTGGCAACAAACTGCTGCCAGAAGTCGCAGCAATGACAGGAGAAGCCGGACAACCCTGCACCAGGCCGCGAGCAGCAAGAATCCAATGCTGCGAGCACCGGCCACGGTAAACCAGGAGGCGGCGCTGCCCAACGTAGAAGGAAGACAGCAGGTTGAGCATGCTCGCCGGCATGCCAGCACGCAGCAACACCACACGAGCCAAGTCAAAGCTCACCGAGTCAAAGAACTTCGTCTTGTAGCCGAAAGTATACTCAACTTTGGTCTTGCTTCCAAGGTTCCTTCAAAGGCTATTTGAAGGTTATTGGTTCGGTGCTCACGCTCGGACAGTTTGGAGCTTTAGGGTATAGGGGTTAGGGTGTGTTATTATAGCGTGAATGTCACAAGCGGCCATAGAAGTAAGGTTAGGGTTCTAAGTAGAATAAGGATAATCCTATTACCAACTATTCGGCCTCTCTCTCTCTCTCTCTCTCTCTCTCTCTCTCTCTCTCTCTCTCTCTATATATATATATGTATGTATATACTAACTAGTCTAGGTCCCTTCATAAGATGGCCTTTCATTCAAGGATTTCTGGAAGGTTTAGCATAAGGTCTTTCATAGCCATAGCAGGCTTCTTTGGACAACTTGACAAGCTTTAGCGTTCAACTTTTTGAAGTGTTTTACCGGCTTCAAGTTAAGTCCAAAGGGGGCCTCAAGGTTTTGTTCGACTTCGTTTACTAATCCCTGCTAGTAGCGCCTTGGAGACACCCAAAGACCCTCCGATACACATAGGGGGTCTTATAGAACAGGGTCTTGGATACTGTGATTCGATAGGCAACCCTAAACACACTGTTACGTTGCAGTCTAAACCCTTCGGAAACCCGTGCAGAACTCCTGCATATCCTTAAAAGACTTTTTTAAAGTCACCTATGGCTCCACTATTTGCGTGGTACTGTTCCCGGTGAATTTCTGAGTTTGGGGATTTTGGTATTGGGGCCGAGCGGTCCAGAATCTTCAAGTCTTCATAAGGTTACATAGGGCTTTACATAGGCTTTTCTGCATGGTCGTTAATCAAGGGCTTCTGTTGCTGAGGGTCGAAGGTTCCACCGTTGAAGGGTTGGAGGTGCAGAATTGATCTTTTGGTTTCGGGGGCTGGAGTTCAAGTGATCCGGTTATCGGGATGCACACTGACCTGTATTCGTACAGGTGTTGCAACCGGGACATAGTGCGACCCCTGATAGATAGCTAGGTAGGTAAGTAGACAGAGATACTGAGATTGAGATTGACATAAAGACATAGATATATTTCTTGATACAGACGAAGATATTGACATCGATATAGATATAGATGTAGGTAAAGATACAGGGATGAGGTAGATGTAGAATGTGATAGAGACGGAGACACAGGTATACACACCCATATGACATAGACCCCTGATGATAGGACAGCCACAGCAGTGTTTCTCGGAGAGGCAGCGGCGCTAATAAGAAGACCAGTGGCAGGAAGGGCAGTGCGACTTCCCGCACTCCGGGTACTGGTAGGGCCAAAGCCTGAACAGATCTGTCCGTTGAACCTAAAAGGAGGGACCTTTCAGGGCTCCTCGCAGGGAACCGGGCGTGGTTGTTACAACTCTGCCTTGTAGTTAGAATACACCCCGGAATCTATATGTTAGGTGGAATCTCTTACACTTCAGAGGCATCGGGCTCTCTGGGTAGGAGCACGAAATTGAAGCAGGAGGGTCCGTAGGTTCTTGAGCCGAAGCCTCGCGCAAAGCGTTCAGAATTCTCTAAGGCTACTGTACGGACACAGAACAAACGGACGACATGAGGATTTCCTATCTCCCGCTATTCAGACAGGCACACCACCACCTTTTCACACCCAAAACACCCACACCAAAGCCCATAGTCCTAAACACTCACCCGAAAACATCGCTCCTCAAGATCCAACTCTCAAACCCCGAACCCTGAAGACGGAGCATAAAACCCCAACCCCCAAAAACCCTAAACTTACAACCCTTACTAGAAAACTCTTGAAGGAGCCACCCTTAGGAAGGTGCTAACCCGCCGAGAATCTAACCTGAGAATTCTTTACTCTAACTCGCCGAGACGCATGGGTACCGAGTCGTAGGTTGTACAGCAGTCACCCTCTGCGGCCTTCCAGGGGTTGAGGGTGTACGATTTAGGTTTGGGGCTAAAGGTTCGGGCTTGGGGGTTTAGATCAGGTATGGGCATACTGTGCATGCTACCCATGATAATGCTGTTTGACTGTATCTATGCCTATACGATGACCTTACCACTCGAATTGCAATTTCGCATGTCGACTTCTCATGTAGATGCTCCTTGCGTTTTGTGTTGACGGTGCTTAATGCTTGACAGGTCTTGCAAAGTCATAGTCGCGGAAGCTGTTTTTATGTCGAGACGAAAGCCTGATGACTCTAGACCCACTCGTTTTTCCGTCACAAGCACGCGCCCGAAGCCTCAGACGCGAATCCCATCATGCCCTGACGACGAAATCCTTAAACCAGCTTACCAAGCTCCGAAGAAGCCAGCAGAACATGGTATTTGCTTGTCTTTCAGCGTGTGCGTGTGTATGTGTGTATGTGTGTATGTGTACATACATACATATATATGTATGTATGCATGCAGGTGGGTAGGTATGTATGTATGCGTGTGTGTGTGCGCATACATACACACACATCTGCATATATATATATATATAGATGTGTATGGAGTGTGTGAGTGCGACTATATATGTATACATGCCTACGTGTCCGTGAGCACTCAGGCAAACAACTGTATACATATCAGTTGGCTGAACTTGAAGAGTGATCGACTTTGACACTGCTATAGACAAGAAGCTGCTTACCAAATAAGTCTCTACATGTTTCAACATACCACATACATATAAAAACGGAATCATAGCTGAACATTACTGACGATATAACCATAACATGTGTATGCACATGCATACCCCTGAAAGCTCAAATGGCTCACTGCAAGACGGAAGGGCCAGTGTCCCATTTATTGGCAGATTCTCCTCCTGAACCCATTTTTTTCGCTAGCGGGCCCTTGAGTAGCTATGGCTCCATGAATGTTGTGGCCTGCGCAGTGATTCATGGCCATAGCTGCCTGCAACTAGTGTATGCAAGAACCTGAAGTAAGAATCTGAGCGCTGAGCCTGCCCTACGAGTGCGACTGCTGCCATACGCTGGAACACCGTCATCGGACAGATGTACTTGACGGGGTTGCCACCTGACAGGATTCAAGGTCCGCTGAGGACAGTTGTGAATTGGGCCTTGCTCGCCAACCACTTTACCATTCAGCACGTATTTCTGCCTCCGTCTGCATGTGTGCGTATGTGTGTGTTGCAAAACGCGTGAATGAGAGCACTGCTGTAACCCTCATCGCTCGTCTTTCGCCCGTCGCCTCGCCTGACAGCATCTGCCAAGCATCCAGCAGCTGGAACTCTTGGAGCAGGCCTTCGAGAGGCGGGTGATGGGTTGGGGGGGTCTCGCAAAGTTCTTTATGAGGGTTTTTCAGGGTTTCACAAAGGGCTTCAACAGTTTTCATCAATCAACTCGCCCCGAACAGAAAGCTGAACCAGCTGCCCCCGAAGCTTTAGAGCGACGCCGGAGAGAACTCCTGATTTGGAGGTCATGCAGAGCAAATTTAAGGATCCCGTGGGGGAAGGGAATCCCACTTATCAAAGATCGTTTTCGACGACCGCTCCACAACTAAAACCACAGCAAACTTGCAACATCCTAAGCAGCATACCTGGCGGCAAGCATCTATTCTTCAGCACGTAGGCCCGAATACAGTTCAAGCTGCACCTTACCAACCCAATTCTGCCATCGACTCAGTAAACTGAACCGCATTTTTTTGGAAGCTTGCACTCTTCAGCACCCGAAGATTTGCTGAATCGCTCTACTTTGGCTTTGCACTAAGCACTATGACAACTCCAAAAGAAGTCTTACACCGTTGTGAAACCTACATAACTTTTCGAGACACCTACAGTACCTATAGTGTAATTTCAACCTCAAGCGAACACCTGAGCTCCCAAGCGCCCAAAACCCTGAACCTTTACTGCAAGCTTTCGGGGGGGAGATTTGGGGGAGATACAATCCAGAGTCCCCCTCACTTTTGGCTCCCAGTACCCACAGAACCCAGAGAACCCAACACCCCTTGATTAAGGAATATACCTCATATCATAATATTAAGGCCTCTATCATTTAAGGTATATTGGGATCTCTGGGAAAGGAAGGCTACTCAGGGCTCAGACATCCCCAGAGACTCCAATATCCCCTAAATTAAAGAATATTCCTTAACTCATACTTAAGGGATATTGGAGTCTCTGGGTCCCCGAGGGCCACCTCCAAGTCCGCTGCTTCTCTTTTCGACCCGGGGAGAAAAGCGCCAGGAGGCCACGGCGAGCAGCGTCAGCCTTTCGCACCGAGGTTGCTGGAGACAGAGAAAGACGGAGAGAAAAGAGACGGATAGAGGAAGGAAGGAGAGGGTGAGATTCTGGGGTTTTCCTTTTGAGAATATACCAGAAAATTTGAGGAACAATATGGCCAAATGTTTACGTGCTATGCCATGCTATGCTGAACCTTCAAGCCGGCACATGGCGATTACGACCTGCGGCCATTCCAGGAGAGAGCAATTTTTCCCTCCTACTTAGCACGGACGAAGCCCGCATTGCGCATAGTCACTATGGCATAGTCCTGAATTGAGGGGCGCTGGGCTCTCTGGAAATTTCAACCCCAACCCCTAAACTCTCAACCCCGTGCTGCATAAGAAGCACGTGTGGATGGACGGACGGACAGATGGATGGATGAATGGAATGAAACAATTCCGGGCAACGCTGCAGCCGTGCCGGCGATTCCACGTCGCAGGGCTGATCGTGGCTTCGGGGTCGGGCCTGACAAATTCGAGTCTTTCGTTGCGATCTTGGGCTTGAGCCCTCGGGCCTAGGGGTGCTGGATTCGAAGGCAAGGTAACAAGGAAGAGGCCCGCATTGCGGGTACCTTCGAAGCGACGGTTGACTACAGCTTCACCTATCGAAGCCGATTGGTCTTTTTGGGGTTCACAGGGCGATGTTGCAATAGTTCCGGATCCTTCTAGCTGCAGGGATCCTTGGTGGTATGTGGACTCGTGCTGCATCGCGTTACCGTCAACGAAACCGAAAAACAGTTTATGCAGGTCTCTCGGGTCTGTGGATATTCCAATTAGCCATATTGCAAAACGACTCTACGAAGGCGGACCTTGGGATATGCACACTAGTTTCAGGGGGGGTATAAGGTAGGGCATCTCCATTTTTCCTCCCAGCTTCAGGCACGGCGTGATAGAGGGCAGACTCAACCCAACTGTCAGACTTGCCCCTCTCCAGTTTGCGGGGGTGTAGGGTTTAAGCTCAGGGATGTATGGAGTACAGGCAGGGTGCAAGTAGAGTTCTGAACCTTTTGCGGGGTTGTCCTGTTTCATAGAACCTACTTACACCGCTTCATGGTCGGTTTGAGTATGCGAGGCGCTGATCTAGCAAACCTCTGCAGCCTTGATGAAACCTTCATCAAAGCAGAATGAAGCCCATGTGCTAGAGTGTAGGAGCATCAAGCCCAATCCTCAAATGCCGAGCCGAACCCAGAAAGAAACAAAACTTGCAGTTCTCTCCGCAAAATTCCCCTTCTCTAGTTGCTGTTGTTCGGCGGCCCAAAGCATTGTTAGCCAGTTCAAATTGGTAGGGTCTAGAAGAACCAACAGCCGAAAGGCCACCTCCCCAGCAACACAGCCTATAAAGCCGCCCACCCTAAACCCTACACTCTAAACTTCACAACCTCAAACCCTAAGACCATACACCCATCCTACAGTATAAGCTCCCCGCGCCCTCAACCCAAAAACCCCGAACCCTCAAACCATGAACCAGCAACCCTTTGTTGCATCCGGGCTTGGGAAGTCGTCGGGGGAAAGTGTCAATCCTAAACCCCGAGCCAAAAAGCCCCAAGAACACTCCGGAGCCTACGCTGGACAGCAGCTCCTCGCTTTCCAGATCCATCCCTCCCTCCGCACCAGCCATGGCTCCAACTCTCCCAGAAAAGTTTGAAGCTTAATTATGGGTTTACGGGGTTTCAGGGGGGTTTGGGGTTTAGGAAACCCCAACTACTAAACCCACATCCCCCCAGTTTCGGGTTTCGGGGCTTGAGGTTTGGGGTTCCGGTCTCCCAGCAACCTTTGAGCGTTGTTGGGCTCTTTACGGGGTGTCGGTTCTTTATGGGGTGTTGCTGGCGTGCAAGAGTGTTTAAATCGTGTAAGGGGTATCGAGGTTTTTTGTAGAAGATCTGATGTGTAATGATGTACATCATGTAATCAAGCATCTGCTTCATAAGCATATTGAGGATTCCCTTCTTATCTACGGCGTTTGATTTCTGGGGCTGCTAAGAGCTGGGCCCTTGACCCTTGACCCTGCGGGTTCTTAGAGCTTCATAGGTTTGTATAGACTAAGGGCTTTCTTTCTAGGTTTCTATAAGGGCTTGACGAGGGCCATACGAGGGTTCAAGCAGGCTCAAGGATGTCGGCGTCTGCGGAGCCTGGATTAAATGGCCAGACGTCTGTGTTTTACCACTAGCGGCACGATCTACCCTCTTTCCCCACTTGACACGACCTTCCCTAAACCCCAAAGCCCGAAACTCGGCATTACAAAAAGTGTCGAAGCCCGCTCTAGCGGGCCAGGCCCCTCGCGTGTGGCCCGAACCCAGGCGCTCGTTAGAAGGATCCCTCTTACAGTTACCTCAAGTACGGAATGCAACTTGTGAAGGCAATTCTTATGCTTTATACATGTAGTCAGTCGGGCATGCAGCACAGCTTGGACAATGAACAAGATGACAAGCGCCAGAGGGCTTTTGCTGTGTTACGATCAGTATGAGGCACATCTCTACGACTCTTAATCCTCTGCAACTCTGCTGTCTATGTGGGAGTTTCCGAAAATAGGGGACCCTAATATAGCACCCTCAAGCAAGATAAGGTACCCCGGAAACTCCCGTTTAGGAGCCTGATTACGAAACCTCTGGTTGCTAGGGATCCGGTTCGAGATCTTACCTCTTTCTGCTTCGGGATTTGGAACCAGGGGTTTGCCACTCTACAGTTGCAATTAAGGAAACTTCGAAATCGTGGCTTGGGCCTGGGTAAAGTTTAGGTATGCGTAAGATAGCCCCGCAATGCAATGTAGGAACCTGGGTGCAAGGCATATGGAGCCAACGACGCGAGACCTCAGCATGCTCCCTGAAGTGGCCCCCAACCCCCAAAACCCGAAACAGGTACTGGGCCGAAATGCTACTTTCCTGCTTCAGGCTCCATGCCTTGGAGGAACTAGCTTCCCTGAGTGCCTAACTGTGTCATAGGCCGCACGTCTTCGACGGCGTCACTGATTTCGAACGAAGCCCTCCCCCATCTGCCGGTGGGGAGCCCGGTCCGCAAGCGCCAGGCCGTGTCGCGACTAAGATCCGAAGGCTTCGGGTTGAAAGGTTCAGGTACAAGGGTGTTTCGTCTAAGCAAGAGGAGAGACTTGCGGAGCTTGCGGAAAAGCCCAGCTCTTCCGGGCACGCAGAGGTGGCATCGATGAACTTCTATGCCAGGCTACTCATTAAGACTTCCGACAGGTTGTCGGGAGGTTTTTGACCTGTGTCTGCTGCCTTCCCCCGAATCCAGTGGTGGGTGTCCTGAAGATGCTTCATGAACAAACCGCGAAGAACCTGATTTCATCTAGACCGTCTGCCGGTGGGCGGTATAGTGCTCCCAGAAAGATAGTCAGTATGAAGACCATCCTTTCATCTCTGTAAGCACCCGCTTGAGAGTGCCGGACACCCCAACTGTCACTAAACCTTCACCAGCTGTGCGTTGGAGCCCTATTTAGACCCACTACAACCCTGGTAAAAACTCCGCTTGAAGCTGCAAACTCTGAACCTCCGATGGTTCAATGAGTCCGAAGTGAATTCTTCTGTGGATGAATGTCTGCACGAAGGTAAGGATCGGCTGCTACATCAGGTGCTGAAACAACTCTTGAAGAAGCGTAAACCCCACACTTAGAACACTCTTTGACACTCGCTCTCGACAAAGCCAAACTAAGAACACTAGCCCTGTCTCAAAGATCGACGGCAGACACACAGGCAAAAACTTCAGCGCTCCTCGTCGGACTAGACAGTTTGCCACTAGCTGTCGGCGTGAGACGTTGGTGCTTTTCTTGTAATAGACGAATATAATGTGGTTGTGTTGCCATTGACTTGTCCCCGGTCTCTCGGGCCGCAGTAGCGGCACTAGGAATTGGAAAACAGAATAAATCGGTGCGCAAATCCTGTATGCTCGGGCGTCGTGCCTTAGGCAAGAATGACTGTATTGAATCCGTTTCCAGTGTCAGCATTCCATGTCGGCATCCGAAATGCTACGGCTCTGCTCACCATGTTCGCCTGGTAATTAGTTGCATCGAGCGGTGCTACGAGTTCACCGAACTTCCTTACCCGCGCTTCTTGCGCCATCTCGCCCTTCTGCGATGAGGCACATAGTTTAGGGGGCCTTAACACGTAGAATAGGGGTTCCTGCTAAAGGGGGTCTATAAGGATGCTATAGTATAGGTGGCCTTAATACTTAGAATGGGGTTTTGGGGGTACATTATACCGAAGTCATAATCAGGAACCCCCAAACCCCTAGTCTAATTATTAAGGCCCCTACATGAGGATGCAACTTCCATGTGGTTTGCAGTGTATGTCGGACAGGGGGTAGGAGGTCCGCTACGTTTGTGCAGGATTCACGCGGCTAGCAACCAGGGCCCCGCCGGCGCCTGAATTGCAAAAGGCTTGGAGCCAGCTGGCGAAAATCAAGGTCGGTAAAGGGGTTTGGGGCTGGGGTTGAGTAGGCTAGCTGGAATTTTCTTTGAAGCAATGGACTTGATAGATGCCAGCACACATGATGCTAGCTGGAGCTACTGAGGTAATTACTGAGTTACTTGATCACCGACATTTCATCTAGTCTGTCTTGATGCTGCATCACACCCAACCCAAACCCGCGACCTCTAAAACCCTGGCCCTGGCCCGAACCCTAAGCCATAAACCCCGAACTTTATTTTCCAGCTAGACTAAACCCGGAACTCCAATTCCTCTAACTCCACGCAGTGTGGCCAGCTAGCTGCAGCCTCCGAGCTACGGGGCATTATCTCATGCCGCAAAACTGAAAAACTGCTTCTCAAGCGAGGCCCAGCCTCGGCAACAGTTTCGCGAGGCGGTGCAAGGGTGTGATGTAGGCTTTGTATTTCTGGGTTGTATAGAGTTTTTATGTGGTGGTATGTGCGCTATATATATATATATAATACAGACTCTGCACAAAGGTAGTACAGCATTTTTGCACGGGTTTGGGCCTTAAGGGTTTACCAGAAAGCCCAATACCCTTTTATCAAGAGCTCGATCTTCAAGTATGGAGGGGTCCTAATATGATTGAAGCCAACCCGGCCTGAGGAGTTGAGGTGAGCGGAAGTCTGGATTCTTTACTGGGTTGTAGTTTTGGGGCTCTGAAAAGTATTTATGAGTAGGTACCTCTATAGGAACCACAAGGGACATTAAAAAGTTTCCCACATTGCCACCTAGTTTACTACACTACCGAAGGTCTTTCGACATGCACTTCGCAGGTGCCTGCCATGAAGGCCAGGATGTTCGATGCTTCGAAACCTTGAGCACGCAGGCGCATGTCGTGCGAGCTTTTTCCGTCACTGCCTCATGGTCAGGGCCGCCGAGCTCGTCCCAATGAGCTGCAATCCATGGCACGGAATCGCCAGGACAACGGCCGGCGGGCAAGAAGAGCAGCGCGATCAGCCCGCCGGGCAGGAGGCCCTTGCTCAGCGCATGAGGGATCATACCTAGGTGGGGCTTTTAAAGCCTTTGAAAAATATTAGTAAATAAGATCCTCTTAAGACCAATAAGGGAAAATATAAAATGTCCCAAAGCCCTACCTAGATACCAACAGCTCTGAAGGACGCCAGAAGTCCATCTTTAAGCCAAGGCCAGCGTGGAACGCTCACCAGGAAGATTGGTGCACCACAGGCTTTGCACCACTCTGCTACAGGTAGGCACTGATCTTTCAGCCAAACAAGGTCGGTACCGAGGACCAGGTCGAAATCATGCCAGTAGGGATCAATCAAAGCTTCCCGGTAGTCCAGTGTTTTCACGCTGGCTGAGCCCCTTGACTGGAAGACATGCCGATTTAATTCCACGTTCCTCTCCAACAGTGCCGTGGCTGCCGGCAAATCGCTCAGCACCTTAACCCCAAAAAAGCACTGGCACTCTTGTTCTCAGAAACATACCATCTATTGGAGAAGGTGAGTTGAAGGGAGCAAGACTGAGAATTTCTGACACTAGTGAGCATGGGTAAATGTGGCAGCGCTCTCCAGCTCTGCTAAGTGCGAGGCGCGAGTCCTGCCGCTCCCGCTTTAAGCCAAGCATCACCCTCACAGGTCGCCATTCAAGGGGAGTTATAAGTGGGGTTATAAGTTGGGCAACTGTAGTTATAACCCATATTATGGGACTGATAACCCCGCTTGTAACTACCCATGAACCTCCAAGTGTACTAGTCATTTCTATGTGCCTTCCAGCCTGCTTTGCGGGTCCCCATTGAACAAATACTTTATAGCTTCAATAATATACTATACCATAGTCATAATAAGGAACACTACAATAGTACAGGTAATTCTTAAGGCCCCCTGTAATAATCCTTTCGGCTCACAGGCACAACATGAGCACCACAAGCGGCCGCCGCCAAGCCGGCAACGCCTGTGCCACTGCCAAGTTCCAGAATTCGATGCCCAGGGAACTCCTGGGTTACTTGGAAGTTCATGGATAGTTATAGGTGGGGTTGTAAGTAGGGTAACTATAGTTGTAAACCTATATCTCCACTTATAACTACACATGAACCTCCCAGTAGTGCTGAGTGACTTTAGGTCGACTGGGTTTTATAAGGGCACAGAAAGTTTTGCATGGGGTTCCCCAGAGATCCCAATACCCCGCAATTAAGGAAGTTACCTTAAATTATAGAGGCCAT